ATATACATATATATATATATATATATATATATATATATATATATATATGCACCTACATACTAAATGCCCCACTATTTGCTGTAGGATATCAGTGTGACCAATTCCAAAGGTTATAAATAGAGTCACACACTATGATAGCCAGTGTGACCATGGGTTTTGTGTAATTTTGCACGGCGAAAGGTTGCTGTAAAGAATATTCACTACAGTTTGGTATGAGTAAACCTGGTTTACCGGTGCGATCATGCTTCTTGCGCTAAACTTTCAGATCGCCAACAGCAGTACTGGTTTGTGCGCTGTAGTTTAACAGTTGGATTCGTATTGGATGTGTTTTGGTCTCTTCCTGCATGCAGTAGGAAAGAGCTTCGATTGGGATGAAGGTGTTGCATTATACAGCCGTACAGCAAAATGCACTCGCTTTTGAGTTTGCGATAAAATTATTTATCATGTCTGTGTGCCGGGAATTTCGCCTCCAACCTGAATTAAGGCTACACGTGAATGTAGAATATCCTTGCAAAATTTCAGCTCCGTAGCTTGTCTAGTAAGCGAAATAGCCATTTCGCAACAGATGTCTTTAAAGTGCCCTCAGTCGTAGCGTATGTGTTAATCAAAACTCAATTTAGGCGATTTTTCACATGATCAATAAATATTCTGACGAAATTTCAGCTATTGTTTCCTGGCTAGTTTTCGAATTGGCGCGGCGCCAAGTGCAAAATTTGACGTGGCTGTGTGCGCGACGTAAGCTCAAGCGATAGCTGGACTTAAAATCTTTAGCTCATACATACTCAGATATATCCTTGAAAATTTCAGCTTTCTATCTTGTCTGCTTCACGAAATAGTCTCCCGGCAAAGAATTTGCATATTTTTTACGGGGGTTCGTCCGGTGATCTAGACGCATACGATCGAAGATTTTAGAGCAGGAAGGGGGCACATAGAATGGGAATATTACTCTTAAATTTAAGCCTCCTGCCTTTCCTGGTTGCTGAGTTAAAAGTGGGTGACGAAACTCACTCCCTTCCGAACACACACACACACAAACGGACAACCTCTCAATGATGTGCGCCCTTGGTCACTGTAACAGCGTTATAGCGCTACACAGCAGAAAAGTATAAAAGTACGAATGTATCCGTGAATAGAAAGTAGGTTTTCAAAAGAGCTAAATTTTAATTTGTTGTTTTTCACGCAAACAGAAAATCTTTCGAAAATTTTAGCTTTCTGTTTTTTCTAGTTTCCAAACTAAAAATCTTCCATGAAAATTTCATATGTTCGTAATTGAGACATCAGTGTGACTGAAAGCTGAATTTTAAACTCCAAGTTTATATATACAGAAGATGCATCGTAACAGGTTTTCAGCTTTTTTTTTATGTTGCCGGCTCCTGGGGCAGAAAATTTCGTGCCAAAACCCGCTCTTATCCGTATGTGAGGCTTAGGCATAAATGGGAGCTGAATTAAAATTTTTGAGATCGGACATGAGCCTGGAACGTCACCTTAAAATTTCAATTTTTTTTTTAACCCGAGCTGTTAGTTTTTGGCATCAAAACATTCGCGTGACCGTTTGTGAGGTCTAGGTACACGCGGGCCTTAAATTTAAGCTTACTAGATCACACATGGATAGGCGGTATGTTGCCAAAATTTCGGATTTTTTGCTTTTATAGTTCCTGAGCTATTAATTTTGGTGCCAAAGCTTTAGCGTGTGAGACGTATGATTGCATGAAAATTGAAATTAAATTTGCGGGGTGGCACTTGGGTAAGAAACACTCTCCTATGCTTTCAGTTTCCTAACTTTTGTAGTTTAAGTTTATGGGATTCCACGTGGGCAGGGAAATCTCTTCCCCAAATTTCAGCTTCCTAGCTTCTCTGGTTTCCGAGTTATTAATTCTGAAGCCATGAGCCCCACGTGGTCGCACGTAAGAACTAAGCATGCATTAAGGCTGAAACTAAATTCGCGAAATCATATATTGTCTTACAATTTCAGCTCATTAGCTCTTGTGGTTTGCGAGTTGAAAACTGCTGACAAAATAAACCCGGACACACACACAGACAAGGGCGCAGCATTATGCGTTTTGTGTAGCTGTTGTACAGCAAAAAACGCATAAGAATTTATGGGCAGGATATGTTGCTCGTCTTGCCGATAACTCTTGGACGTTATGCACCAGTGAATGGCACCCGCGAGAAATCAAACGACAATTCGGGTAGCTCTCAGAGCGCTCCATGCATCGAACAGTCAGCGGACATTGTTTGGAAATTCGCAGCCAAGAGCTTGGCATAGGTGAGCTCGGTGTATAGGAACATCCCCGAAGCCTGGTAATGTTTGAGATACTCACACTGATCGTGTAGGCGGTTGTGCTATTCTTGGTGTTATTCAACTGACTTTTACCACATATATTAATCTTACTGCTGAAGCATGGGGAACGGAAAGAAAGAATTGAACATAAAACCAGTTTATGATGGTGAGCGTTCCTCCCGAAAGCGAAACAACAATAGTCTCTTCGTTTCGTTGTCATCAAAGATAATCTGCCCGACTGAGTGTTGCTAACAATACTCTAAAACTTCCAGCCGTTTATCACATCACTACTTATCACCGCAGGCCAATCATTTCATCACTTTTTACGACATCCGTATTTATTCTTTTGCACACAAACAAACTTGTTCCATAAGTCAAAATCTTTTGCATATCAACCTGTTATTGCAAATGGAAGCTTGCCAGAAGTAGCTTGACAGTAATTCATGCTCATAGCGCCCACCCAATAACAAGGCTGTCGATGGTTCGTTCCCCTTTGCGAGGGCTACGTAATTGGAAAGCCATACTAGTGATTTAACAGCTTTACCGGTCTTTCCAGAGAAACACTGTTGAAGTGGAGGAAACTTATGAATGGAGAGGGGGAAGAGCCGAAGTAACTTCTGGATAAGCGGAATGTACAGTATGGGTCCCAGAGCTTAATTCTTCTGGCTGTATTGTTGTTTCTTCATATTTTATTGAAATTATTTTCCATGTTTTTTTGAACTTTTTCATCTAAAGGATTTTCCGGATTGCTCATTCAGTGGTTTTATTTCTGTGAATTAAAAATAAATATGCTTTCAGTGCCCTTTTTAGCAAGCTCGTAGGGCTCGTGACAAGCTCATATGTTGGTTTTCATTACCGACAGCGATTACTATTTGGCAGGCGAGTAGAGACACCAGCGATGTAGCATTTTATTTCTTCCATATCTTAAACCCTTCCTACCCACAAATATCCGTTTTGAAGTTCGAACGGTATTTCCAACACACCAAATCAAACCAGTTAGCACATATGATATTTATTAAGGTTCTTGTTCGAATACATGAAAAATCGAGAACTCAGTTTAACTACTGTGCATTTCATCCTCAACCATATTGCTGAAACTGCTAACTTTATCGACTGAGTAATCGAATAAGCAACCAACATCAATCTGGATACTGCTTTTCAAACAAGCGCCACTTCTGACCAAGAACCAGTTCTTGGCGCGCTGTTCTATCTATAAATTGATATAAGTTTTATTTCAGAGCAACTAACCATCGGTAAATCCGTCGTTTTTATGGAATGAAAAAAGAAAGCGACGAACGTAAGTTATATGAAGAGTGCTTGGTGCGCTTTGAGAAAAACAAACAAGTTAAAAAATGTTTCTTCCATCAAAACATTTTCATTTCCATCTGCACCCTAGAAGTACGTCAAACTTCTCAGCTGGAAACTTCTTTGGAGAAAGGATCAATAGTCCACCTCGTTACAACTTGTTGAATTGATTTTAACCAGAACAAACAAACATGTATCACTGAGTTTTCGAAAGTACTATCTACTCCTGAAAATTACTACTTTCGAGGATCTGAATGACAAATTGCAGTGCTCCCGCTACTTGCAGTGCTCCCCCTGCTATAGTGCTGCAACAGTAAGCAAAAACGCATATTGCCAAAAAGCTGGGTGTGTATGTGTGCGTGTATGTATATGTGTGTGTATGTGCTCACACTTTTTTCACTTCCTTCAACTCAAAAGTTAAGAGTTCTGGAGTATGTTCCCACACCTATGCAGTCCTGCAATTTTAATATCACTATTCGTGTGCGTCTAGGTCCTATTCACGGACGTCTCACAAAAACATGCAAGTTTTTTGGCAGGAAAACTACCTCGGGGACCAGAACTGTCGCAAAGATGAAATTTTAAGAGGACGCCCCTTTCCATGTGCAACTTAAAGATTTAAAATTCAGCATTCAGCTATGTTTGGTAAACACGTATGGGAACGTGAAAATTTGGCGGGAAAACTACTAATTCGGGAACCAGAAAAGCTGGAAGACTGGTATTTTAGGGAATGTTCTCTGCCCAAGGACAACTTGAAGGTTTTAAATTCAGCTTCTAGGTAAGCGTCGTCCTCACGTATGGGCATGTAAAGTATGCTCAATGAACGTCTGGGTCATTATGCGTTTTTGCATGGACGTAAATGCAAAAGCATACGTTATGAATCCCCGTGGTGTATGTGCATGAATGTGTGTATCTGCCCAGGTATTTCAACTCGGTAACCAAGCAAGCTTCGGCGCTGAAATTTTGCCAGTGGGTTCCCCGACAAGGCGCCACCCAGAGATCGCGGTATTAACCTTTGCACGTCTAATTCTCGTGTGCGAGCACGCGAAATTTCGACGGGGAAACTGTCAACCTGGAAACCAGGAAAACTGAAGTGCTGAAATTTTAAGGCGATGTTCCCCGTCCATGTGCAACTTGATTTCAAATTCATCCCCCACATATGCGTGGTTCTTATGCAAGGATATTTGAGAGTTTTGCCGGAAAAATTGCTCATTGAACAGCTAGGTCAATTTCAAAGAAGAACCGTTCGAAGAAAATTGTCCATTTTCCTCTGTGTAAAACCTGCGTTGATTTACGCTAATGAGCAAATAAACTAAGTACGAGCAAAGAACATCCACATAGTTGACGACCTAATTGCTTCAAGTCCAGTGCAAAAATGCATAATCGCATCAGCGAGAATAGTATGTAACAGCCTGGATTAAATTTCTGGAAACAACAAAGTAGCAGTCACTAGCAGTGGGAAGGATACGACAAATTTTTTAGTCAATTTACCCGATAATTGAAATTTTTGATGCATTGAGCGTTATTCGCAGGGCGTTTAGCAATCAAATAAGCCGTCATAGCACCACCACAGTATGTTTTACAAGCAACAGAACGGCTGCCGTCAGATTTTTCCTGAAATTATAAAAATTCTTATTCATGCCTTAATATAATCTCAGTCGTTTCATATCTGCAGGTAGTTTTTACAAAAAAAGAGGCATCAGTTACACAGTGAAAGCAGGATTGAGAAGATGATATTTTTTAAATAAGAGGTCGCTGGAGCAATCGGGGTTTTTCTGCCAAGAGGAACTTTTAAAAACTTGTATGCTGGACTCTTCAATCAGCTGCGGACCAGAAAACGGAATTTTCAGTTACGAATAAATAACAGAAAATCGTTTATTAAGTAATGTGTATGTATCTTAATGGTTTGAAATGATTTTGTCTTTAGCAGTTCTAAGAAAGCGAAACCATGCACTTATTGAAAAATGAAGAAACTACCTCGTTTCATAACAGGACATTCTGCAACGCAACGATCTATTGCAACATAATTTTCTGCTAGCTTCTTTTGATAGCAAAATACTGTTAAAGCACTGTTTAGCATTCTAAGATAGCGAAATTGTTTTAGCCCACTTTTAAAAGAATCCTAGAAGAGGAAAATATTGACCAGCAGTTTACTACCATTTAGGAGCGCAGACAGTTAAGTTTGTCTTTCCGGGAGTCTTCAGATACTGACGATATCTTTTACTGATTAGCATAGCGCTTTCAGAAAAGCTGCTCTCTTTTTTTTCGATTTTTTTCAGCTAACTTGCTTCTTAAGCCATTTTCTGACTGAAATTCTTTTGCAGCGCGCTATCATGCCACTATACTGGAGTAGTGTCTTGTATGTTTCACAAATAAAATGGCACACAAGTTGAATTTCGATCAGGAGTATACCATATGGCAGGAACCAGAAACCGTATATTCGTCAATGGAATCGTAGCCGTGTTTCAGAGTCACTGTGCAGTTTCCACTCTTCATATCATCCTCAGCTTTGCAGCTGTACTGACGCAGTTCTAAAAACAGTCAGACCCATTAAAGCGCTGATGATTTCACAAGAGAAACACGGCAAAATCAGAGCGTCAAACAGAAAATGAAGGAAGCTCCAGTGCTAAAAACGGCAATCATTAGGCATTTTCTGAGGCACATGCAACAGTGTTTTTGATGCGTTTTTGCCATGCACTGCCGTAGCAATGCAACAGTCAGCAAAAACGCTTACTGTGACAGTTCTGACTGTACGACTTGTAATATTCCATTGTCTGGGTATTACAAATCGTCAACAAAGCAAACTTAGACATATGTGGATCCAACGAGATGGGAGAGGGGTGAGGAAGGACGATGATACAGGCACGCCCAGTGGTTCAGACGCCGCTCAGTGGTACAGGCCCCAGTGCTACGAAAGTTCAGGCCTAAAGCTAAAGTAAACTGAAGATTAAGGTAATTTTAAACTAAAGTACCTCCCTTTGGCTAAATGAAACGTGAGGAACGCGATATCAACTTTTACGCACGTCTACGTCTCAAGTGTGGACACGTAAAGTTTCTGGCGGGGAAATTGCCAACTCGAGAAGCAGAAAAGCTAGACAGTTGAAATTTTTGAAGGGATGTTCCCTGCCCATGCATGATCTAATGATCAATCCTAGGGAACAGAAGAACTAAGATACTCAATTTTTGGAAGGAAGCTTAAGATCAGCCAGAACGAGCTAAGCAGCTCAGATTTTGTTCAACAAAGAGCAGTCAGATTAGCTGGTCGCAAAAACGGGTGATGACACCAGGACGATTTGCTAAGTGGGTTCAATTTTTGATGCGTTTTTGCTGTGCAGCGCTGTAGCGCTGCTGCTGTGAGCAAAAACGCATATTGTCGAAAGGTCGTCCGTGTTTGTGTGTGTTCGGGAGTGAGTGAACTTTGTCATGCACTTTTAACTTAGCAACCAAGAGAGCTGGGAGGCTGAAATTTTTTGATCATATTCCCACCCCACGTGTCACTCTTCTGTTTTAAAATTTCCACTCACATGCCTAGATCTCATTTACTGAACCGTGAAAAGAATATGCAAATTTCTATCACGAGGAAGGATTTTCGCGAACCAGACAAGACAGGAAGCCGAAACTTTGTATGGATATTCTCTGTGCATGTATGAGCTAAAGATTTCAAATTCATCTGTCGTGAATGCCTATGCTCCGCGTTCGTTCATGTGAAAGTTCGCAGCTGAGCTGCACTAACTCGAAAACAAGCCGGAAAACAGTAGCTGAAATTTTGTCCGAATATTTGTCATTCATATGGGAAATTGTATACCCAAACTGTCTCGATCTGCGCTTGCGCTACGACTTAGTTCAAAGATATTTGTCGCGAAGTGGCTATTTCACTTACCAGGCATGCTGCGAAGCCGAAACTTTGTAAGGGTATTTTGTATTCACGCGCGGTCTTAAATCAGCGCGGAAGTGAAATTCGGTTCACGCAGCCATGAACCCAGGCTGGAACGCACCAGGCGAGCCGGTGCGACCATGCGTTTTTGCACCAGACTTGAAATAA